TAGGCTGGTCCTTGGAGACAAAGATTCCGAAGCTTCGTCTGACATACTTTGGGCATATTGCAAGGAGGGACGAGTCCTTGGGGAGGGACAACATACTTGGAAGGGTGGAGGGACAGTGAAGGAGAGGAAGACTCTCGATGAGATGGATTGATTCAGTGACTGGGGTAATGGGGGTAAGTGTGTCAGAGACAATAAGATTGGTACATGATAGAGCAGGGTTTAGGGCTGTTGTACATAGGGTGGCTATTAGTTGCACGTGACTTGATAGCACATAACAACAACAATACTTAACACACCATCACAATGTCTGGCTTCAGTCTATGACAGAGGAGGTGGACAACCAGACAGACATATCAGGCTTAGTTTCCATACTTTCTCAGTCTGTGTATTTATCTTTATAAAAATTACCAAATATACAAAAGATTACACTGGCAGGTTGTGCAAACCCAAAACAGCCATTTACTCCATTCAATGGTATTCTACTATTTTAACATTTTTGTTCCCTTTTAAGCAAAGAAATGAAGACAACCCACTTGTTTTCCTGTTTATTTATCTCCATTCTTTCTTGCCACTCGTGAGATTCCTGTCTTCAGTTCAGGAATGGCATTTTAAAAACTGTCTTTTCTTTTCCATAATATTCATCCTCATCTACTAAACAATTAAACAGCTACTTCAAAATTCTCGTGGGACTGAGGATCTGAAACCACAGTTTCTGCCCATTGATCTATTCCTATCCATATATCTGGCCACTGTCCTGGGAAACCTGATCATTGTCCTAGAAGTCACTTCTGACTCTCACCTCCCCAGTCCTATATATTTCTATCTTATTAGTATGTCCTTTACTGACATTTCTTTAAACTATCTCAATCCCAAAGGTCTAGTGAGCCTCCCAGCACAAAATCAGAGGATCTTTTTCTATAAATCTGCCTTCTTTCCTACCTTCATAACAGCTGGAAGCATGAGGCATCTTATGCCTTTTTGCATAGAACATATTTCCACATTGCAATCAAGAACCAAAGACAGATCTCTGAGGAAACATTCAAAGGACAATCTTACTGACACATGCTAAAGTCTCAGATGCATGACTTTAATATTTGAAGAGCGTGAAGTGTTCTTGTATTTTATTTTTTTTTTAGTCTTATTGTTAATGTTCCTTGGAGTCAAGATTCTGAGGCTTTGTCTGAAATACTTTGGGCATGTTGCAAAGGAGGGACTGGTCCTTGGAGAGGGACATCATGTTTGGCAGAGTGGAGGGACGGCACAGGAGAGGAAGACCCTTGATGAGATGGATCGATTCTGTGAGTGAATGAGTGTGTTTGAGATGGTGAGGTTGGCGCAGGATAGAGCAGCGTTTAGGGCTCTTGTACATAGGGTCACTATGAGTCACAAGCGATTCGATGGCCCATAACAACAACAACAACAATTGTTAATGATTGAGTTAAACTCTCTCCCAAGGTAGGTTGAAATTTTAACCTGTGTTACCTGAGACTGTGGCCTTATTCAGAATAAGATCTTTGAAGCTGTTATCAGTTCAGTTGAGGTCATGTTGGAGTATAGTGGGCCCCTAGTGAGGGATGAGTGTTGTTATTATAAAAAAGACACAGAGATAGAGGGGTCATAGCATCATGGAAAGATAAATGAGATGGAGTCATGCTGCATTTCTAAGGCAAGAAACAATTAGTGGTGCCAGAAGCTGGAAGAGACAAGAAAGACCTTCTCGTAGAGCCTTTGGAAAGAGCATAGCCCTCCTCTTGATCAGTGAATGTAGCAATGGGCTCAAGTGTGTCAGAGATTGTGCGGATGGCACAGGATAGGACAGGCTTCAGATCTGTTGTTCATAAGGTCGCTATGAGTCGTACTCAACTTGATGGCCCTTATCAATAATCTCTTGAAAAAATTAATTCAGGCTTCAAACCTCCTCTCAAACTTTGAGACAAAATTATTTTCTCAGTTTACCAACCACTTGGTTATGTTTTGCTATTGCAACACCATATGATTAACATCATGGTTAGGTGCTGAAGTGTTGGTTATAGTTCACAATGACAAGAAAAGCTCAGTGTCTCTTTTTTGATGATCTGTTTTACCAAGCATGTGACCCTTCTCCAAGTACTGATCCCTCTATGTGCGGATAGCATGTCCAAAGTATACGAGACAGTCTCACCGTCCTTTCTTCCAAGTAGCACAGAAACAAATCTGTTTTGATGAAAGCACCAGCAGAATGTTCCTTAGGGACATGGATTGAGACATTTCATCTTACTTTGGTCATATTTTCAGAAGGACCAATCCTAGAAGACAGACATGTGTTGTTTTGTACAGTCAAGTCGAAACTGAGCCTGAGCTGACCCTCTGGTGGGCTTTCAGAGGTGGTTAATCAAGTGGGAGGAGATGATCAGTTCTTCACCCACAGAGCAACTGGTGGATTCACACTGTGTCTTCAGGATTGCAGCGCTAGGATAAGTAGAGGGTCAGAGAAAGGGTCTTGACAAGATGGATTGACAGAATGACCACCACTGTAGGTAGGCTTCAATATGACTGAGATAGTTTAGGATTGTGTAAGGTTCAGATCTGTTGCTCACAAGGTCACTATGAGTTCATACATAGGGACTCAACGGCACCTAACAACAACAAAGGACAAGATTTTGAATGATGCAGAAAGAATATATCTATCTCTATATCGATATCTATCTATCTATCTACCTATCTATCTATCATCTATCATCTACCTACCTACCTATCTATCTAAATTGGTCAACACTGAACCAGTTCAGAAAGTAGAAGCATATGGTCAAGAAGCAATGGTACTGAAGCAAGAAGTTAAAATTTACTGGAGGCATTGACAAAAAATAAGATCCTAGGTATTGTTGGACTATGGTGGCTTGTGCATTCCTTTGATGTTGGACACTGTGCCATCAGTATTTCAAATGCCAGCAATGTTGCCCATGATGGACATGTTTCAGTGGGGTTTTCAAATCAAAACAGGGAAGAAAGTAGGCCTAGACATCCAGTTCTGAAATGACGGGTTCATGCAAACCATTAGCATCAACCATAGCAGCAAAACCTTATCTGACATTATGCTGGATGATGAAGTCCTCGGGCTGGACGGTGCTTCAACTACAACTAGAGAAAAGCTACCATTTAAAGTAGTTGTTTTTGTGTACCAGTGAGTCAGGACCAACCAATAACTGACCCTCCAGCGGGTTTTCAGAGGTAGTTTAATCACATGTGAGATTTCCTATCTTTCTCTTGTAGAGCTGCTGGTAGAGTAGATTCCAACCACGTGTCTTTTTGGTGGCAGCACAGCCCCTAACCACTAGGCCACCAAAGTCTATGTTAATGATATGGTTTTCATGTGACACAGCTAAAAATGCTAAGAAACAGTTGAAAATATCCACTCATATTTGCATAAGGGATTAATATGGGAAAATTAGAAGCTGTCAAAAATGAAATAGAACACAAAGATGGCAGGCATTAATGGGCTGAAACAGACTGGTATTAGTCATTTAAAATTAGCAAATCATCTGATTTGCTGTGTCAGAAACGGCAAATTGAAGATGAATGGCATCACTTTTGCTATCTAAAAGAATATTTAGTGACAAGAAGCTGCACTTCAATCCCGAAGGCACAGGGTTCCAGACCACCAGCTGCTCCACGGGAGAAGAATGGGCAATATCCTCCTGTGTGATTAACTGCCTCTGAAACCCCCCCAAACGGTCAGCTATGGGTCAGTTTCAACTCGACAGTACACAACAACAACAACATTCTAAAGTATAATGCTGTCAGTGATAGGATAATACCCATAGCATATTAAGGTAGGCCTGTTAACATGACTATTACTTAGGAAAAAATAGGAAAGAAAAATAGACAAGAGAATGGAAAAAATGAAAAATAATGTACGTGTGAGGAGGATTAAAGAGAGATAGCAAAAGAAAAACCTGAGGGATGGATACCAATCAGAACACCTATCATTACGGAATCTGGTGGGAGCAAGAGTGTCTCTTCTGGTATGAATGATTTCCTGCTGACCCAGAAATACCTGGGGATGAGAGTCCCAGTCTGAGGGCAAATTTTTCCTGTCCAAGAAGTGTCCAAGGGATGTTCAGTCAGGGAGCATGCCTCTACTGGGTCATGGAATAACCAGGGGCACGGTATCTGGCCAGGGACAGACTCTCCCGCCACTCATTTCATTACAACCTTGCTGGACACTCTATAATCTGATTTTGTTGTCATCTTCTATAATTTTTGCATTGTTATTCTTCAGGGTTACTTAAATTATAACTTAATAGCCCTTAGATAATATTTACAAATGAGGACCGTTGTTTACTACAGGCCCATCCAAGAAAAGCCAAGAGGAGTATAAAATTATTTGAACAAAGTCAGCCAGGAACTCCTACTTGGTTTTCCATCTTCCTGACTTGTTTTTGTATATCTTTACACTAATATCAGGCAATTTTAATTCTGCCAATCTTTTTATTGTCTCTGTAATGGCAAAAATCCTTTTCCCCCTGACCAAGAATATGTTCCTTCACACAACTGGGACTAGTAGAATATTCTCTGACATTTACTTGAATTCTTGTGATGATGAAAGATGAACGTTCTTAGCTACACCTTAATTTAATACCCCTGACTCTTAAATCAAGTCCAGACTAAAATTTTTATCACTTTATTGCAGATCTTACGGGCAAGAGGTGGAATCTGAAACGCATCAAGCTGTCTCCTTACTGTATAGATAACTCTTTGTAAAATATTTTCCATTATTGTAACAATACAGATAGTGCTACTGGGGGAGATCCATGAATCCTTCATCACCTGTTTCTTAATTAAATTTATGTTTATGTCTAACTATATCAACTTCAAGTCTTTTCTTATATTAACCAAATAATAAACACAGAAAAGAGATTCCCCTTATTCCTCCTCATTCACGTCTTTCCTTTCCCTCAGACATTGTTTTTCTCTAATGCATCTAGGGACCACACAATTAATTGCCTTGTCACCTCATTTTCTCCATCAGGTACATCAACAGTATGGAACCTAGAAACCAAACAAGTGTTTCTGAATTCCTTCTATTTGCCCTTACAGAGGATCCAGAACAGAGGTCTCTGCTCTTTCTCCTGTTTCTCTCCATATACATGATCACTGTCTTTGGAAACATGCTTATTGTTGTGCCTGTTGGATCTGACCCTCACCTCCACACCCCTATGTACTTCTTTCTTGCCAATCTGTCCTTTACGGACATCTTTTTCAGCACAACCACAATCCCAAAGTTGCTAGTGGACCTCCAAGGAGAGAAGCAGAGCATCACTTATACAGGCTGTCTCACCCAGGTCTGCTTTCTCTTGCTTTTCACTGTTTTAGATAATTTTCTTCTTGCAGCAATGGCCTATGACCGCTACGTGGCCATTTGTCACCCACTGAGATACACGGTCATCATGAATCCCCGCCTCTGTGGCCTGCTGACTCTACTGTCTCTGTTCATTAGCACTGGGGATGCCCTTCTGCACAGCCTGATGGTGTTGCGGCTCTCTTTCTGCACAGACCGCAAAATCCCCTACTTCTTCTGTGAAGTTATTCAAGTCCTCAAGATTGCCTGTTCTGATACCCTCATCAATACCATCTTCATATATCTTGCAGCTACTGTATTGGGAGGTATTCCTCTCTTCGGAATCATTTTCTCTTATGTACAAATTGCCTCCTCCATTATGAAAATGCCATCAACAAGTGGGAAGTATAAAGCTTTTTCTACCTGTGGGTCTCACCTCTCAGTAGTTTTCTTATTTTACGGGACAGCCTTTGGTGCGTACATTACTGCTGCGTTTACACACTCCTCCAAAAAGACTGCAGTGATTCCAATGATGTACACCATGATCACGCCTATGATGAACCCTTTCATCTATAGCCTGAGAAACAAAGACATGAAAGGAGCCTTGAGAAAATTTGTCAGGAGTACAACTTCTTTCCAGTGATGATATTATCTTGCTTTGGACTAAGGTTTCTAGACTGTGTGGAAATAAAACTACACTCAGGCAGCAGAAGGCCTAATCTTCCAACTCCATGGTTACATGCAATTCAACTTAGTGTTTCACACTTGACTTTGCTTCTGGGTATTTCATGATGCTTGAAAAACTTCTTTTAAAAATATCTTAGTTAGGGAGCTCTGGTGGCCTAGTGGCAAGATGCTGCACTGCAATTCCAGAGGTACGTGATTCAAATCCACCAGTTGCTCTGCTGGAGAAGGAGGGGGCAATCTCCTCCTGTACCAGTCAGATCTGATTTGACAGTACACGTAAAAATAATACAATAAAAATTTTTAAAA